CGCTGCGCAGCTGTCTCCGGCTCCGCAGGCTCCGCAGGCTCCGCAGGCTCCGCGGGCTCCGCGGGCTCCGCGGGCTCCGCAGGCCGCTGTCCAGGTTGACCAGACTCCCAAGGCTCGAAACCAAGCTTCGACTCTCAAAGCGTTGGATTTATTGGAGAGTTCATGTCACAAAGCGAGTCTGTCGAATCTGTCAATTGGTCGAGTCTGTCCGGAACATCCAACACCTCAGTGTCAGTTCACATAGCTCCTGTCGGATGACACCAGAGACTATGAAGCTAAGCTTTGTTTTTTTTCGATAGCACAGAACAGCCAGCCAAAGGGCAGAGGTTTTCAAGATTTTGGAATTGCTCATTTTTTTGTTTGAGTTCTTAAGGACGCTTTTGACTCATTTCATCCAAGCATATCTAAGCAACACTCCATCTCAATGACAGTCAGTGAAACTGCTCAAGTCCAGGGGCGCCGAGGAAGGGGCCCAAGTCCAGGGGCGCTGTTGTGCTGCATGCGTACCTTCGCCGTTGTGCCCACTGAGAGGCTGTAGAGAGGTCGGGAGACAGCGCCACGGTTGGCGCTGAAGGCCTCCTAAGCCGCTGAGACGGCGAAGCCGCTGAAAGATCATTGTCTCGTCACATGAGCTGTCTGGAATTTAAGAGGTGCCAGCTTGTCATAGTTTCATCTGGTGCTTTGCGAAGATAGTGAAGGTGCCAAAGTTGCTAGGGTGCCAGCTTGGCTTCTTGGTTGTTTGCCCTGCCACGTAAAGATCAAGTTAGGCAAGAGATTGGAAATCCGTGAGCCCAAGGCTTTCCTCTGCGATTTGACATTGGCTTGTGATGGTTTGACTGCCAAAAAGATATTTGAACGTGCCTTTGGCCAAGAAGACCTTTTTTTGCTCTGCCGAACAGCACTTTCACCTCCTCATCTGTCGAAGCTTCGCACGAAGCCGTAAGGCTTCCGACATGTTGTGGAGGGCTTCACGGATTCAATGTGCACTTTGCAATGGCACCTCTTGGCAGCATTCAGTGTTTGCGTGGTAGTTCTATGCCCAGAGATTGATACTCTTCAAGAAGCATGGTCGCTGTGGGAGAATTTGCGGACTGCTCCAAAGGCATGTAGCCATGGCAAGTCGTCGAATCTGGAAAGCTCACAGACCTGGTCGCTTGCGAACATATTTCGACAGTGTGCCCCAAGGGGTTCGCCACGTCGGGCGCTTAGGTACAAAGTGTCTTCCTGTTGGCATTCACCCCGCTGTTGCCCTGCGTTCATTGCTGTGACGGTGACTTCCTGCGTCCTGATCCGTCGAAGCTGTGCGGCATCAACGTTTGACTGCGACAGCTTCGCCTGGCTCTCGCTCTAAAGAGGCGTTTGCGGAGTGCCCACGACGCTCAGAGCCAAGGCTCTTGCGGTTGTTGCAAGTGCTGCCTACAGGTCTTGTACGCAAAAGGTGGCTGCCCTTGAGTTGAAGAAGCGACCAGCAACTGTCACATGTGAAGACTCTCGAGTCTCAGATGCGTCTCTTCTTCAGTAACATGTTCACCCGCTGTTTTTGAGTGTGCGCAGCCGGAGATTTATCACCAAGTGCATTCTTGCCGGTCGGCCATGCGACTTGTGTGGCCATTCAGGACTCAGACATGCTCTCGCTTCCTGATGCAAAGGTACTTGCAGCAGATGACATGTTCTTTTTTCACGATCGAGGGTGCTATTTGTGCGGGTGAATGCCACATGTAGCTGCTGAACTAGAGTTTGCAATCTCCTGCACAAAAGAATACCTAAGACAAACTACATCCAGATCTACTGTTTCCATCACTTCGTGGCCGCTAGAGATGCTACGATGTGCTGTATGCCTTGACACTCTTTGTGATGCAGCCCCATTGACCTCACTCTGCCCGTCAAGAACCGCTTCACCAGCTCAAGCTGTGCCCTGTCCTTTGATTGACACATCAAGGGGCAGATGACTTGAGTTCTGTTTCTATGTCGCAAGTTCAATGTCGTCTGCAGACGCGTTGGATACATGTTGGATGACATGCAGGCCGGTGCTGCGATGGGGCATGTTGGTGGCGGTCCATGTAACGTGACTTGTGTGTGACACCTTAAAGCATCATATCTCCCAATCACCCAGTGCTGGTGGGGACCCACGCAAGCTACCAGCGAGCTGCCGGCAGAGCCTTGGTAGCAAGCAGATCAATCCAGCTGAGATCCAGCCAAAGTTGGGCAGCCAATACATGCACTATAATATAGAAAACCGGAATGTTCGGCATATTTTTACATAGTTTTAGCACTGTCTCATATTTGGATGCGTTTCGGGCAGCCACGCAGAGGGCTTATTTATATGTAAATATACTTATACAATTAGATGGTTGGTCTTCTATTCTCATGCTGCAAAATACATGTGATGGCGAGGAATGTTTTGTGCTCCCGCAATGAGACGGGTGGGAGTCTATCAAGAAGACCTCTGCTTGTTAGCTCAGATAATCCTCTTAAGATTCTTGGCCATTCCAGCGGACGATTCTGAGACAAACACACCTTCATGAAACCTTCAGATTTCTTTGTTCTGTGAAACAAACCTTCAGAGTTTTCTATTCTCAGAAAGTCATTCTGAGAAACAAGCCTTCAGAATTCTTTTGTTCTGAGGAACAAACAATGGCATGAGACAACGCTTGGCGCATCACCACAGGAAAATCGCACCAGTGGCCAACCCAGTGGTCCCGGTGTGGCCAGTGGCCCCTTCCATGGTGATGAAGCAGAATGGCATGACACGCAGAATGGCAGTACCAAACACAACAACACCTGACAGTACACAAGGAGGGCAAGCAATGACACAGCCCTGCCAGCAACTTGACACATAACCCAATACATGTAACACTGTGATTTACTCACAGCAGGACAAACACGACAGCAGACAACAAGCAATGACACAGATAATGACAACATAACAATCACAACACTCCATGATTCAGGGATATGCCAGTCAATGACCCAGCTACCAGTGCCAGGGGATAGCTGAGAGTAAACCATTTCTCTTGTGAGAGACGAGTCTTCAGAATTTTTGTTCCCAAAAGCAAACCTTCAGTTTATTTTTTCTGTGGAGCACACCTTCGGAACCCTTTTCTGCGAAAAGAACAACACATCAGAGTGTTATTTCTGAGAAACAAACGATCAGAATCTTTTGTTGGAAAGTTAGTCTTCAGAACTGTTTGAATCCGAAAAATAATCCTTCAGATTTTTCCGAGGATCACCTGAGAAACAACCATAAGATCTTTTTGGGACACATACACCACCAGAAACAATCCTGCACACTTTTTCAGAGAAACAATCCTTCAGAATATTTCTAAAGTGAGAAACACACCTTCAACATTTTTGTTGACAAATAAAACCTTCAGAGTTTTTTGCAGACGCAGTGAGTAGCAGACCTTCAGAACAAATGTTTCCACACAATATACCTGCATAATCCTGCATATATTTCATTTTTTGGGAGACACACAATTTCACATTTTTTCGACACTTATATATATATATACATTTCTGAAAAACCATCCTTTAGAATGTTGGTTCTGGAACACAAACCTTTAGAGTTTATCATTATGAGAAACACACCTTCAGATGTGTTTAGTTCTGAAAAACACCTGGTCAGACAGTTTTTGTTCTGAGAAACGAACCTGAGAAACACATCAGAGCACATTCCACTTCATGGCATGGGTCTTCTGTCCCAACCTGCCCAGCTTTGCTCTGAGCGCCGAGGCGTCCGACCCGGAGCCGAGAAGCATGAAAAAGCGTGGCCGAGCCTTCGGCGGAGGACGGATGAAGTGCTAAGAAGAGAGGTGGTTTTGTTGAAGAAAGGCCATGTCCGTGTATAGTTGCGAGGCATGGTGAACCAAGTGTTGACGTTTCTTCACTGTTGCTCACTCCCTCTCTGAAGCTCCATGTTGAGAGATAAGCTCATTGGAGGCGAAGCATTAGTGTCAGGTTCAAGAAGGCTTTGGTGATGCACATCTTGCCAATGGACCAACCACGGTACTGTTTACAGACGGCTTGAATCAAAGAACAACCAAGTAGAGAGAAAGACACTCGAAGTTCTTGAGCTGCAGTTCTTTGTTTTGGTCCCTTTGTTGGAACAGCAGCTATTGTCTTTTCTCTGTTGTCCATTCTTTTTGTGTCCTTCATCAGTTATGCAGTAGGACCACTGGCCAGTGGCAAGGCAGGCTGAGTGTCTCTAGAAAGAATCAGCTCTTCTGAAGAATGGAACCTCGGAATGCATTGATCCGGGTTCCAGGTATGACTCTGTCTAAATGACTCTGGTTGATCGGGGTTCCAGGTAGAACCAGTTTGCTGTTCGTTCGATGGGCTGTAGGTCATTTGGACTGTTTCTCCCCAGATAGCGAAGCTATGGGGTTCTTACTTCAAATAACAATGAGTTGCCCGTGCGCGCTTTCGAGACAGGTTGCTGGTGCTGGTGCCGGGCGCCGGTGCTGGTGCTGGGTGCCGGGCGCCGGTGCTGGTGCTGGTGCTGTGAGCTGGCTGTGCACGTGTGGAGACAGGTTGCTGGTGCTGGTGCTGGGTGCCGGGCTGGTGCTGGGTGCCGGTGCTGGTGCTGTTAGCTGGCTGTGCGCGTGGTGGAGACAGGTTGCTGGTGCTGGTGCTTGCCGGGTGCAGGTGCTGGTGCTGTGAGCTGGCTGTGCGCGTTGCTGGTGCTGGTGCCGGGTGCCGGGTGCCGGTGGGCTGGCTGTGCACGTGATGGAGACAGGTTGCTGGTGCCGGTGGCGGTGGTGCTTGCCGGGTGCCGGTGCTGGTGCTGTGAGCTGGTTGCTGGTGCTGGGTGCTGGGTGCCGGTGCTGGTGCTGGTGCTGTGAG